AAAGCGGTATCTCGGCATCACACACGTGATATATTTTCTACTAGCGTATGGACCCCCTTAGATGCACAAACCTACGGAGCTCTTTACATATTACATCATCAGTAAAAAGTATGCACTTTCAGGAGGGGACCGCTGGTTCGATCGAATACTTTTATTAGGATATATTGCATGTCTATCTGTTTCGATGATGTTAAGAGAAAAGACAGTGTTCTAACGATACTCCAATGTACCTGTGCACAGAACCCTAAGATTGAGGTTCCAGCACTGGGGAATGCATATCTCAGCTCGCCTTCAGGCACATCCAGTACAGAAGTTATCATAGGAGATCGATACTCAGAAACACACTGTATCATGTGACTCAGCTGCAGTTCTCACACGCCAGCTAGTCGTTAACTAGCATGTTCTGTTTCCCGATACATACCTACCTACCTTCCTATAAACGGATATCCATAATTTGAATGTTGTCACATGTCAACAATCACGCCGTAATGATACTTGAGCCGAACAACGACGGCTAATTTCAGACCAGACACAGACGTAACGACACAACGACCGCAGCAATTATTACGCATTATTCGCAGCTGCCGTCATGCGCCGTACTTAGGGGGATGAATAGCCGCTGGATACCGCATGGAAACGACGGACATAAGATTCAGATGCGAAACGCGGCGGCGACATTGAGCGTTGTTTGTTTACGTTATGTTATGCTTGTTCGGTTGGTCAAGCGGTTTCGCGATGGACGATGTCCAACAAGTCCTTGGTGTCGGCCGATGACCAGCTGGACAAGACTCAAGGTAACGCGGTGACGCCGAACAGCGCCGACGTTATAACACAAAGAACGTCTGGTCATAACGAGAAGACTCGAAATCGATGTGTCCTTCGTAACCCCTACGTCGTTGTCGCCGGATCGATGCTACGCGATTCCTTTTTCTCAACGTTTCTGTATGGCAGCCAACACTGAAACAAAACGGAAGCTGAACAACATCGGCTATGAATTCAAGAATGATATGAACATGTGTGGGGCAGAGGGGGGGGGCAGGGGAGGGTCGACTCATCATACACGACAATATCAGTCATGGATGTAATTTTAAAGTTCATTGTGAACCACCAAGCCGCTATGTGGTTTGCTCTGGTAACCGACATTCAGACGGAGGTCATTCTTGTAGAATGGCGACTAAACAACCAGCAGAAAGGAATCCAGACCCAACATGCAAGCATTCATATCGGTTTAAGAAGAAAAGACTGTAAATTTCTTTGTTCTGATACGAAACAAGGGCAAAGGAACAGCCGAACGATGTTTCGTGGTAGATGACACTGACTGAAGATTTTAATTACGACAGTGCAACGAATTCTATGTTAAATTTTAGTGTCTGAATGTTACGGTGAAGACCCTCTGAAATTTTATTATACAAAGGATATTGTGACCTCTTCTTCACAACTGAATGATTTTCAAAAGTTCAAATATTTATTAAATATCAGTTGGTTTGCCCGTTAATAGTTGAGGGTACTAAACAACGCAGATGTTAACATTAATCATTGCCAATGCGTTTCGCCATGCAGGCCGTTGGCATAGTCAGGGTACAACTGATGTGCAGGCAGCTGGCCACTTTATATGTACAAAATACCACGATTTAATGTGAGTGACAGATTGACACCATGGACTTACCTACCTCGCTGACATCAACGTACCTTGCCGAGACAAATACCCGAAATACATGCTGTCCCAAAATCAGCTCAGTGAAACGCACCATAGCAGTATGTTTAGAACTACCCAAAAAATCCGGCGTAATAACGTTGTACAAAATTTTTTGTCGTCATCCGTCTGTCTGTTGAATGAAATTTATCGTTATCGTTTATTCTATACAACAAGGTCAGTATTTTTTCCGCAGAGAAACTTGTGCTGATTATTACACTGGACAGTAAGGCATGAGACGGGTCAAGGTGGAGTGCAGTCGCAAGTGGTATTTGCATCAGTAAGGATGACCCTACACCTCTTCTATTCATGTATGCCTACACCAAAACACCAGGCTATCCACGTTATTCGCCAGTGAACGAGATACTAGCCGTTTCTCGGTTGGTTGTACCGAAACAACAGCAGGTATTCGTTGTTGAGACAAAGGCTGTCCTTTCCATGTTTTGAAGCTGACCTCGTGGACACTGCTACCACCCTTTCATATGATTAGTGATGAACGACGATCAGGCAGTTACAACACGGCTGGCAAATACATCAGTATACATTCAAATATTGTCTCAACCCCTACTGCTAACCAGTTACTTCAGCTGCCCTCTCGCTGTTGTTTGAACTGCTAAGTTTATCGGCGAACTTTTCGTCTTCAGTTCAAATCAGTTTTTTCTCGTTTCTAAAACTAAGGCTAAAGTTTATCTGATGCTATTTTTAGAAAAACTTTAAAGCGTTGTGGAGGTTTACCTAAAATAGAGCTCAAAACTTGATGCCTAGAGAAACAATAGCACATAAACAGATCACATTGAGGTCCACACATGCGTGATCACTAGCCGGAGTCCCCATTAGGAAGCTTGAAGAACCACCAAGAAAAAAAAACCTTCCTGAAGTTGCTGCTCTCGCAACAATAACTCGCTCTTATAACAAATCGACGAATGAATGTATTTGTTGCTGTACTAACATCATCATCTCCATCAACCTTTTTCGATGCTTTTCCACAGTTAGATGAAGTTTTCTTCACGACTTTGCCATAAATTTCTGTTGTCTGCTATTCTTATCTTCGTTTAATGCATGTCTTAAGTTGATCTTTCCGTAGATCTGCAGATTTTCCTATCTGCCGTTTATCTCTCCTGGAATCTAGTCTAGTGTTTCTTTGGTCCTGCGTCCGGATTCACATACTTCGAACTTTACAACACTGCCGATATACGCCAATACACCGGTTTACATCAAAGTTAATGTCGCCATTACTAGTTAACACAATTCCGAAGTAGCTGAAATAGTACAGCCCATCTGTTGTAATGCTATTTCACAGTATCCTTAGATACCGGTCACAATGGACACTCTCGTCTTCGTCCGTCTGGCATTGACTTGTAACACCACGCTGATAGCGATGTTGGACACGTTTGCAGTGATCGTCACTAGGCCACTTTCGGAATCACTCAGCAGCACGATGTCATTGGCATACTCAAGGAATACAGTAAGAGTACTGCCGAGTACATTAAGTTGCGTCACTGACTAACTGCTGTCAGTCCTTCGTTGTTATTTCGGACGACGCACTTCCTCATGACATAATCCACTATGATGTTGAATAACAATCAAGAGAGTTGTTCGCCTTGATGAACTCCATTGGTAATGTTGAACTAGTACGACAGGTAGTTCGGATAGCACATATAGCTCACTGTACATCTGTATTAAATTTACCATCGACTATGGAACCCCATTGTGACTAATAACACACCAAATGTCGAGATGCCCAGATGTCGAGAAAATTCGCGTTGCCAAGGAGGCTGAAAGTTCCAGCACTGCTCGCTCGATGATTCTCTTCAGCACAACGGTATCGTCCGAGCAAAAGTGACCATGTCAAAATCCCGTTTGGTTAGTTCGCAAAAAGTAATCGATTGATTTCTATAGTTGTTCAGGAATGAGTCACACGAAGATGATCTTCAGAACCAACGGGATAGTGATTTTTCAGCAGTTAGTAGTCTGCACGACTCCATCTCCTGAAGATCAGAATTATCATGCCTTTCTTTCAGTCTTTCGCGGATCATTAGCTTTCGGCGGATGCTGGTAGAGACCAGGCGAATCCAGCGGACAAAGTTTTTACCTTAACATTTTAAAATCTTCGCCCCAGCGTCGTCGTGTTTTTGAACACTGAGCTAAGGTAGAATCGTACTGCCTCTTAGATTCCTTCAATCACTCGTGGGGTACAGTCAACATCTAGATGTTTTTTCAACTTCCTCTTCCATTTTGAGATTTACCCAAGGATCATGCCTACTGAGCAGTTCTGTGAGTACTTGGCTCATTGGATGTCTTGTGGCGGCTGGTTGGACTTGCTGAATAACAAAACGGTGGAAAGCTTTTGTTTACTACCTCTGGTGATGATGTTAATTTGCTACACAGCATCTTCCAGTTCCCTGTAGCTGTTGAGTTTTCGAACTTATGCCTTTGAGGTCCAGTCATCGTTGTCCATTCTCGCAAGATCTCCTATTTTCTGCTTGGACAAAAGGAAGATATGCTCTTTTCGTATTCACGTCAATGTCACGTAATGTAACGACAACGTGTTTCTTTGCTGACGAAGGTTTGAAGTTCATGTCGTGACCCGGGACTGTTTCGTTGTTCTGTTTTTGTTACCAGTGGTCTTGGCAGCCGCAGTGACGATGCGTTCTTTAAAGCGGTTGCAGAGCAACTCTAAGTGTTGGCACGTCGCAGAGTCTGCTGTCGATTTACATCTGTATCTCCTGGCAACATCTGATCGATCGACGAATTGGAAAAGCCAGTGGCGTTCTGTGTGTGAACTAGCCGAATCCAGTGTGCTAAAGCAGAGCTCAGTCTGAAAACTAAGCTCTCAATATTCAAGTCGATCTTTATCCCCATACTTACCT